CGTCCGCCGCGAAGGACCGCGTGTGCGGTGGAGGGAGGGGCCTGACGCCGGAGAGGCGCCACACGCTCCTGAGCCGCGTCCTCCCCGTCGCCGTTGGGCTGCACACCGCCCGCCTGCGCGTCCGTCGCGGGGCTGGCAACGTGGTGATCACGCGCTTCATCTCGGAGGCCTGCTACTCACACGTCGAGCTTCCAGCGGGGCATGAGAGTGTGGGCATCGACGACGCTGACTTCGTCCTTTACGTGACGGCGGAGCCAGTGGGCCCATTTGTGGCGATTTGCTCGGAGGCAGATGACAAGCGGCCGACATCGGCCGTCATGAACTTCCTCCCGGAGGAGATCGTGGCGTCGAGGCATTTTATCCGCCGCGTCGCGCATGATATTGCGCACGCGCTTGGGTTCAGCGTTGAAAGGATGGCGGCCCTTGGCATGGTGGCAACACGCGCGCTGTGCGGCCGTCCGGTCTACGTGATAAATACGACAAGAACCGTCGCTGTGGCGCGGAAGCACTACGGCTGCGCCCACATCACAGGCGTGGTGCTTGACGGCGATGCCGATGACGGTGGGACGTCGCATTGGAGATGGCGCGACGCGAAGGACGAGTTAATGAGTGCACACAGCAGTGGCGGCACCAGCAGCTTCGGTGCGTACTACACAGCGCTGACAATGGCAATTTTTGAGGATATGGGTGTGTATCGCGCGCAATGGGGGACAGAGGAGCCGATGAAGTGGGGCCGCGATGCCGGCTGCACCTTCCTCGAGCATGAATGCACGGAGCACAACGCCATCTGACAACTTGGGCCCGCTGTGCGTGAGGACCAACACGGTATTACATTCCGCGATTGAATGGGTAAAGCTCGTGGTTCAAGCAGAATTGAGACGACTCGAAAGTGTGCTTATCTTACTCCTTGGTAGCATCGGTGCTTTGCGGGCACTGGCGCTTGTATACATTGTGGCGCAATACACTGACCACTATCCCGTCAATAAACTTACTCCAGAAACAACTCTGACGGTGTTGATCAGATGCGTATTCACCTTTGTAAATGTTAGAAGGCCACAGTACGCTATGACACCAACATCACTAGTGGGGGCACGTGTCTCTACATACCAGAGTGAAATACCAACTGGAAGACGGTTGTGTCTAAAGAGGGCGACTGAGGGTGGTGCAAGCGTGCAGCACAGCGGCGACGACACCCGCACGAGTGCCACTTGCACCGCCCCGTCGGAGGGAAGGCTCAGTGTGCAGGCGGTGTTGCTGCTGTCTGCGCTGGGCGTAGCGGTGATCACGCCAGTAAGCGTGGCTGTGTGAAGAAGCTGTGTCGCCACGTCTCAACTACGCATCAGGGCTCCTCACGGACCCGTCCGTTTGACTGTGGAGCACAGGCAGCCTGCATGTAGTTGTTGTTTCATTCTTTTTGTTTGGGTGTGCGGAGCCCTCTGCTGCATGGAGAACTCATTGCGGCTTCCATCACACGCTGAGGACTATGTTGTGCGGACTCATTGTGCTCGCCATGCCTTGTTGCTCTTGGGCCCAACTGCTCCTTGGTGAGCACAGATGCGCACACTCGAAGATGGGCAGTGTGTGCACGTTTTGCTTTTGTGGTCATGGAGCTGTCCTCTTTTTGTTTTGCGGGAGTGACTGCGTCCATCTGTGGTGTTGCCTGTGTCCCTTGCTGTGTGTTGGTGTGCCCCTGCGGGGCTCTGTGTGTGCCGCAGCCTCCCTTCCTCCCCCCTCGCGCAGCTCTCAGTGATACAGCTATGACACGTTTATTCTTCCTGGTGTGCGCCCTCTGCGTGTGGTGTGCCTGCGGGTGCGCCGCGCAGGATCGGCCTCTGCTGGAGGTGCCACTCGTTGGCGGCCTTGCCATGGAGGCGAAGGGGAAGGACAAAGGGAAATATACGACGACCACCCCGACATTCACGATGAGCCAGTCGATCAGCCTCATGCCGCCAACATCACCAGCCAACGCTGCAACTACGACTTCCACTGGCACGGGTCAGACAATGGGAGAAACCGCTCAGCAAACTCCGGCGTCTCAACCAACAAATCAGCAGGGTTCATCCGGGGCTCCTGAAGCTGCCAAAGAGCCTGCCCCCCCGCCGCCGCCGCCGCCATCGACGCCTCCTAAGAAGAAGGACGGCAGCAGCAGCCCTGTGTGGGCACACGCACCGCTGCTGCTTGCCGGTGTGGCCCTCGTCGCCATGTGGTAGGCGGCGCGGCACCCCGACGCCCCACGCTCTGTGGTGGGGCGCAATATTAACTGACCCCGCCCTTCAACATAACGATTGCTTACGGCCACACGGCCCCTTTGTGTGTTTCTTTTCTTGTTTGCTTGCGGCGTACACTTGGGACAGCCCAAGGTGGCAGCCGCTCCACCTACCCTTCTGACCTTCTCTCTCTTTGCTCGAGTGGTGTGCGACGCCCCCTGTGTCTGCGGCAGCACCTCCGTGGTGGGCTCCCTGTTGACGATGACGCCGCACACAAGACGCATCCGCTGTGCCTTGCTGATGCACGCCCCCACATACCTCGCACCGGGCACTCAAAGTGTTGTTCGGGGCTCAGCAACACCCTCGTGGTGGGCATTGGAGAGAGTGTTCATTCGTTGTTTTCTGCTTTCTTTGCTTCTCTGGGTCTACATATCTTCGTTGAGTTTGTGTCCGCTCAGGCTACCCACGGGGATCGTCTGTACGTACAACTCTGCTTGGATACAAAATGTTTTTGTGTGGAACTTCACTGGTGCACCCATTTCCTTACGCATGCGCAGTGTGGTCGTTTTGTTGTGTTCTTTCCTTTGTGTTGAGGCCCGCTCTCCCACCGTGAGTGGGGGACGGCCTGCGCTGTATCATGGGCTTTTCACACATGCAGCCTTCTCCGCTGGCGGAGCAGCAACACTTGGGCTGGGAAGCACGCCAGACTCTCACTGTTGAGTGTGCACAAGCTCCAAGCTGGGCCGGTGTGTGTGTGTGTGTGCTTAGCTGTGAGGATAACAACAACGTGGAAGGACGAAATGAGATATTTCCAAGTCATAATGAGCTACTGGGTTAGAAATATTATTGGGAAAGGACGTCTGATTGAGTTTTGTGTGGGTCTCTTCTCAGTGCTGCTGCGCCGCTGAGCCGCCGTCTTCACTTCCTCTCCATGGCGTGTGTATCTCTGGCGCACAGCTGAAGGTAGGATGGCGGAGCCCCCACGTGCTGGGTGTGGGTGCAGGTTGCGGACGCAGGCGCTGACGACCCTCTGACTGCGGTGGGCATCTGCTACTGTCACTGCTGCTGCTGTTTTCCTTGCATCTGAGGGCACAAGCAGTGGCTCTGGAGCTGTTGGCAACGTGGGAGGCACTGGCAGCAGCCAGAGTGCGAGTTGTCTGCTTCCTGCTGTGTGTGGTGTGCAGGGATTATTATTGTGCAGTGCCTGCGTCTATGCGGGGTGACTGAGGGTGGTGCAAGTGTACAGCACAGCAGCGACAACGACACCCACACGAGTGCCAGTTTGCACCCGCCCCGTCGGAGGGAAGGCCGTGTGTGCAGGCGGTGTTGCTGCTGTCTGCGCTGGGCGTGGCTGTGTGGAAAAGCTGTGTCGCCACGTCTCAACTACGCACCACGGCTCCTCATGCACTGGTTCTTTTGACGTTGGAGCACAGGCAGCCTGCATGTAGTTGGTGTTTCATTCTTTTTGTTTGGGTGTGCGGAGCCCTCTGCTGTGTGGAGAACTCATTGCGGCTTCCATCACACGCTGAGGACTATGTTGTGCGGACTCATTGTGCTCGCCATGCCTTGTTGCTCTTGGGCCCAACTGCTCCTTGGTGAGCACAGAGGCATACACTCGAGGAAGTGGTGCTGGGTGTGTTATGTGACGTGTTAGTTAACCGTGTTGTGGAGTTGTATCGGGAAGGGTAGGTGTTTTAGGGTCCACTTGGCACTTTTCCTGTGACGTAGCTTCTCTTTTCTTGTTTTTTTTGTCGTCTTTGCTCTCTTGGTCCTGTAGGGGATTAGGGCTGTGGAGCAGCACCGTCAGCTCTCTTGTTATGTCGTCGGGTAGACAGAAGAAGGAGGGCGGGACGCAACGCCCCTCTGAGCCCCCAGCAGCAGCAGCAGAAGAAGAAGGATGCCGCAGTGCCCTTCTTGTAGTCGGCACGTACCACTCGGTGATGGCGGGGCTCGTCTTCCGCCGCAAGAAGTTTGAGATGCTCTTCTCCATCAAGCACCACGTGGGGTGCATCAACAGCGTGGCGGTGGGCGAGCGCTACATGGCCTCCGCCGGCACCGACGAGCGCGTGTTTCTCTTCACGAACAAATGCCAGCAGCGCCTGACACCACGCGAGCGCGAGAAGCTGCGAGCGGCTGGTGCGTCGCTGGGCGTGCGCCTCGCCGACCTCGGCCACGTGTCGCCGCCCAGCGAGGTGCGCT